ATAAACTAATTCTTTATCCTAGTTCTTTATATTACATATATATTGTGCTATCTAAAAACTGACTGGTTAGAAACTGATGATAAATATCTAGAAACCGGATAAAAATTATTAATAATTACCTAGGAACTGTCTAGTTATTATTGAACATGTATTGACTAAACTGACAATGATCTGAACGTAGTAAATAGCTGTGCAGGATGTCTGACGATAAATATGACAACCTTTATGTGCATATAGATTGAATTAAATTGAACAACAATTCCTTTACTATTCTGCAAACAATCATATTACAAATTGTCGAATTATTAATTAAAGAAGATTGGTGAATATGCTTGTGTGCGATACGGTGAACGAGCTCTGTGAAAACTGTTTCTGGACACTCATTAGTCAATCTTCTTAAACAAATAAGACAAAAACTTATATGATTGTTTGCGAAGTGGTAGAGAAATTGTCTGTTCAGATTTGTCTTAATCTACATGCACAGAAACGTTGTCACCTTTATCCTCAGACCTTGTACATTAGACTACAATATATTAGAAACATTATATTAGAATGCTAATCACAATTTATGTTCAGCTATTGGTTGTACTCTGGTTTACTTCTTGCTCGGGATATTTATATGCTGTCACGTCTTAAATGACTTTGATGTTAAAATTTGTCCTTTTTGGATTAATGGATTTAACCAATTTACTTAGCTTGGGTTGGACTAGTTTATGTGATTGTGAATAAAAATATGTATGTGTGTGTGAGAATTTGAAAGAACAAATTGTAACTTTATTTACGATTTGGATTTCTTCTTAAATATTTCAACTAAATTGAACGAAATCTGTACTGTTCGATAGAGAACTGAGTCAGAGAAGAACTGAGAAACCGAGGATCGGACTCAAGAGGCTCATGGATAGAGGTTTAGGAATACGAGTATAAGGTGTAACACAACGCTTAAGAATGATAAATCACTCGGGGAATGTCTATTAGAAAAAACAAACTTTTTAATCTATACAATGAACTGTACGAAAATTTATGAATATATTTGTGAATCAAAATTCTAAATTAAAGAGTATGAGAATATTTTAGTCTGAGAGTCTATCAATCTATTAACCTTTAGGTTGCCGGCATTTTCCTCTCTAAAAAAAGTATGTAAGAGATTTAATTGTTGCCGCTTTTCCGCTAATTGGTTCTCATTTCATGTGAGCTGCGGCTTGCTTCGTGTCGTTTGCGCTTGTCAAATTACCAGGCAAATAGCTGTCATCGCGTTGGTTAATTTGTGAAAAAAAAATATAGAAGAGATATGTCTCTCCCTGTCTCTCCCTACCTCTCCTGTCTCTCCCTGTCTCTCCCTGTCTCTCCTTGTCTCTCCCTGTCTCTCCTTGTCTCTCTCTGTTTCTTCCTGTCTTTCCTTGTTTCTTCTCGTCTTTCGCCGTCTCTCCCTATTTCTCTCTGTCTCTCCCTGTCTCTCCTATAATTATTAATTAATTAAGGTATATTTTAATTTAATTTAATTTTTATTTAATTTTTATTTTACATTTTTTATTGTTTTTTATTGTTTTTATTAGCTATATGGCGCGCGCGTAGCGTGCGCATGTATTGTTCTAATTTTAATAAAAAAAGTGGTTCTTTTTTCTCAAAAATGTCTCTATATAAGTAACATACGCATGGCGTAGAATTTTGAAATTTGTGCAAAGCCACAAAAGTGGTTTTCCCGGCAGTTTAAAGATTAATTAATTTGTCGGTAGTCGCAGCCGCTTTTTACAGGCAGGTGGTAAGATATCCCCACGCGAGTTCTCCCAATCTTTTTCGTAGAAGGGGAAAGATGCTTCTCACGATATATGAGAAATAATGATTGGGTTTTGATGTCTTCTTATCTGTCTATTGTTCATTGACCACTTAGGATGTTTATCGCATTCCAAGTGATAACCAGTGCGTTTAGTCGAAATAAAGAAAAGTTACGTCGAACGTAACAATGCATTAACGATAACTTTTGTCACGGAAAATACTGCTTCAGCGAGAAGTCTGCAGGACTAAATGTTTGTTCTACAAGTTTTATATGCAGTACATTCTCACAAGATTTTAATTCTAAACACTCAGCGTCTCAGCTGTTAGACGAGGTAGAATAAGAATAAAGCGGAAGCGTGATGCAGCGACGACGCACTACGACGTTGGAACTTACGAAATCTCCGCGACGACCTCTCGAAGATTTTTCCCCCGAGTAACGCGTCCTGGGAATGCATACAAATTGATGCCGGAGAACTTTATTTATGGAAGATCGATAAGTGGCGCAGAAGATTCCCGCTGTATTGCTTGCGCGCGGATAATGAGAGAATAACTCTCGTAAGAATCGCGGCGCGGAGACGGAATTTTACGATAAGTGTCTCGTTATTTATGGGCGCACATAAAGATAAAATCACGAGGAGAGCGAGAGAAAGAGCGAGAGAGATCCTCGCCATTGCTGGGAA